CCGCCTTGTGTGCATGGTCATGTGTAAGAAAACCCAAACCCTGTCTCAGTAATTGTCCCTTTCCATTGCACAGAAGGGAGAAAAATGCCAGAGATGATAATAAGAACTGAAATGAGCAGTCGGTGTGGTCCCAGAAAGCAGAGAGCCAGCTTCTTCTCTGCTGGCATTCTTGTCTAGTCTGTGTTTCTGGGCCATCAGACGTCCCACTGGCACTGACGCTTGCCAGCTTTGCTACGTTGTTTGTATCACAGGTGAGCTGAAGATCCTCAGATCTCAGCCCCTCTGTGCTTAGCAAAATCCCATTTCTCTTTCCGATTTCACAGCCATACTCAAAAGTAGTGCTCAACTGCTTGCCCAGGTCTACCTCAAAGGGGTCTTCTAAACTCTCTTTCGTGGCATATTCACTGCCCTAAGATCTACCAAGAGTAGGAGGTAAGACTGGAGCCATAGCTCCTTTCCCCATCCTTGTTCACTTACATAGAGCCCTTTTGCAGAACTGGAGTAATTAGATCATTTGGCTTTGGTTGAGTAATTTGTCTCTGCTGGAGGCAAACCCACGAAGTGGATGAAGCTGGAAGCAACAGTGGTCTGTATCGCCGTGATGCCTGTCATTCCCTGGTTGTATTCTGAAGCCTTCGCAAACGGTAACTCACATTTTTCCATCCGCCCTGCATGTTTTTTGAGCTTACGCAGCAGGGACGGGGAGGCAGGGCCATAGCTGGAGGATGTGCCTGCACCAGGCCCCCATGGGACGTGGCCCGGCGGCCAGCAGGAACCCCTGTATCCCCCTGCCAAGAGGCCACTACCGTGATGGGAAGGAAGATCCTGGTGTGACTGCTGTCCTACTTTTAAAAGTGCATTAAGTTTAGAGCATAGTAAATTAGTCGGTCCGACCTTTTTTAGAAAAACAAAGATGGTGCTCCAGACTTTTCTTAAACTGTTTTTAGTTTACAGAAACTCACCACGCCGATAAAACTCTTTTAGGAGATATAATCACAAGACCAATCAGCCCCTCACTATGTAGTAAAAATCATAGCACTGGAAATGTTTGTAGTAATAACAAATACATGACGATGTCTACAGAGATTTTGCTGCTAGCTTCATCACAAGTCTCGTTCAGTGTTATGTGCATCATACCATAAGAAATTACACTCAAGAAAGGAGGGAACTGATTTAATAGACATCTGATCTGGATAAATTTGTCATGTCTGCGGTTGTGATTATATGCTAATGATTTGATTTCACACTGTTCATAATTTCAGCAGCATAGTGTTCCTAATTATACACTGCTAAAAGATGGTGTTTATCCAGACACCATCTCTTTAAGTAGGTAATTTTATGGCCAGCACTGTTTCTGGTATCTGAGATCCATACGGACATTGGTGAATTTATACTCACAGACACTACAAGGTCAGGAGAGATTCATATTTGTGCTCTTTTCAAATGGAGAAAATCTTCAAACCTGTGGTAGTAAGGCTTTTAAATGTGCAGTATAATCTCACTTTCCTTCAAAAAATAGGATCCACAGATGGCATAGCTTGAAAATATCTACTCACACCACTTACCTTGCCAAAGAAACGTTGCTCCTAACAGCATGCTCTCGGTATTTAATATTCTGTCTTAATTAACCAGAGTTCTTATCTTTTCTGTGCTTTACCTTGTCTAACAAACAATTCCAAAGGCATCCGTTTTTATTTCTAGGAATTAGCATGTTGTCTTATTGAAACCATGTGCTTCTCAGAGCTTGCCCTCCGTCCTCTCCACAGTATATATAAGAAACCACATTGATTCATTCTCAGAGCACTATCTTTGAAAAATTGGATTATTTTTATTAAACATAACTCTACTTTTTCCTTCCTTTTCCCCTTTCTCCAGCCCCCTCCAGCTATCTCTAGCCTCACTGAAATGCAGCTGTGGGCAGTCAAAAAAAAGGAATAAATGGAAAACATATTAGAAAGAGGCGTATCTCCATATGGAGAACAATTGATATCTATTTGAAAACTGGGAAGGCAGCATTATACTATCCAGCTTTTACCTGTACACTAAGAGAGCTGCCAGGTGTCTGACCTGCGGTAGAGCTCAAGCCTGGAAACAGCGTTGCAGCAGAGTGCTGTTGGTCAACCTCACCCCTGATGAAAAGAAAAGAAAGTTTCCTCTGTGGTACACAGCAGATCTAAAGAATCTAAATCTCCACCTTAGTCCTTCCTCAGTGATGTCCCTTTCCATGAAGACTTTGTGGTTTCTCCTGTCCCCCAAGTGCTTTTGCATGCTTGTCACGTGTTTCCACCTGTGTAGACCAGTGTAGGCTGACATGCGTGACATGGACTCCCTGGGGGATGCTGGTGGGAAGAGTGAAGGGGATGGTGGCTCATTGCCTCTCTGGAGCTGCCTGCAGCTCTCAGAGCCAAGCAAGCACCAGCCGTCCCCCACCTGCCACCTGCCTGGTTCCTACGTCAAAGGGAGCTTTTTTGAAGGGCAGATGTCTGACACTTGCTTGAGGACAACTGGAGGCTCAGCTCCCCAGCCAGCCTCCTCTGTCAGGTAAAATATCTGTAAGATAATGAAGAAGTCAGTCAGAGATCGTCTTGCTCTTGGTTAGGACAGGTGTCCTCTTCATGATAATGAATGGGGCTGACTGAACGTGAAGGCACCTCGAAGCAAGCTAGATCTCTCCTAACATTAATAAAGCTCAGTCTCAGCTTCAAAGGGCTTAGTCTAA